GAGAAATACACTCATTTGCAAACTAATTTGATTTTTCGAGAGGCTCACCTGGAACCCAGCCGAATCACTCGTTTGTGGTGTTTCGTAGGCTGTTGACGAATTTTCAGCAACCTTATGAGTAGTGCATTACAAATATACAAGTATCGCGATATCCCGAATATCGTAGCGACTGAAACATGAGGCGGCCTGGTGCAGCACGTTCAGTTGCCTGGAAACACCATAAACGAGAGATTCAGCTGGGTTCCAGGTGAGTCTCTTGAAAAACCAAATTAGTTTGCAAATGAGTGTATATTCGGTAAAGAGTGATGTGCATTTGAACTCTACCAATCTCGTAAACACCTACAACTAATCAAAAATTGTCCAACAGGTTTCAATTGTCCGTAACACTACCTTACCGGAAAGTCCTGACAGACGGGTCAATCGATCGATAAAACCGAGGCGGTTACTGGATCACTTGACGTGAATAGATTCACCAGTTCAAACGTGAGAATTCAGATGCATCAAGCTTGTGCTGGTAGCGTAGTTGTAACAAGTCTGCCTTGCATTCCATATGTTCGGAGTTCAATACTCCGCACACATATGCACTGCTGATGAGCTCTAATGAGAGCGAAACTCGAGTCTGGTACTTCTTCCCTTTGGCGTTGACTCACCAGAATAATTGCGCCAGAAAAGAAGGACGACTGTTTAAGACTGTTAATGTGAACACGTACTCCTGGAATTAGACGGACGTAATCTAGACTGTTCCTCGCGAAGATTAGGCCGCAGACCAGCACATCATTAGCTGCTCATAAAGTTCCTGAAAATCCATCAAACGCCCTATCAAAGCACTCCTGAAGCACCTCGTGCAAGGCTTTGAAACCAAAAGGTAAACGGAATCCACCGCACGTCGTAGATAAATCGAACTTGTGGGGAAACCTAGCCCAAATGAGTTTCATCAGATGATCATCTAAAGTGGAGATGTCGTATTGTTCTCTTTATATCGCAGAATTATTAGATTTAGGGGAAAGTGATAGTCAGGTTGCTCCCAACTTTTTCGAAGTGATCACAAGTTGGCTAGCCCAATCTGTAATGCCATGTGCCCTCGCAACAACATGTACTTCTGATTGGCTATCCAGCATATTTTTCCAGGGACATCCAGATTTTGCTCGCAGATGTCGTATTGTTCTCTTTATATCGCAGAATTATTAGATTTAGGGGAAAGTGATAGTCAGGTTGCTCCCAACTTTTTCGAAGTGATCACAAGTTGGCTAGCCCAATCTGTAATGCCATGTGCCCTCGCAACAACATGTACTTCTGATTGGCTATCCAGCATATTTTTCCAGGGACATCCAGAATTTTGCTCGCCACTCCTTTTACCGATGTATTGATCGCACCCGGTCACCAGTATCTGCCCATTCAGCCTGAACAAGTCATGCATACGCACAAGCTGGGGCTGCCTGTGCCATTTAAATTTGCTAGTGTTGGCTCATTAACTAACTTGTCAAAAAAACTTCGTAGTCTAATCGGTCTTGCCTGTCTCCCAAGTGGATACTGGACAGTAGCTCGAATTCAGCTAGCCATATTTACAAATCCTAGTCTTCTCCTGTTCCATAACATCAGTGAAGATGAATGGTTTACACCGTGATCATATCTGCTGAAGGCTTAATGCTCGTTCTGCATCGGCCGGTTAACTCGATAGGATTGCTTGTGCAACGTTTGTGTACAACCAATAAGCCTGCATCATCAGCCAAACTATCCACTAATACAGTGGGTAACACCATTTCGGACCTCTATTTCAACCTCACTCTGAATGCATCTCCGACAAGTAGCACAGGCGGTACGAACGGATGTTTCGAACAAAATCTTTGCACCAAGACTATGCTTAGAAAGTTGGACTTCTGTTTCGCTAACTTGACACGACAGACTTGTCGACTTTATTCCTCTCAAGAACCCACACTTTCAAGGAAACCATTGAGACTTCGAGTCATGCCTTCGGGTAAAAC